ATAAAGGGAATCTGATATCTTTTTTGCTAAGAGTGATAAGAATGTCTTAATCAGACACTTTCATACGAAATTAATTTCACAATACTAATGGTATAAAAAGATATTTATTTAAAAAACGTAGAAATTCGTATGAAAAGCATGAAGGCAACCATTTTCCAGGTATATGAGGCCTGTATGTATCAAATTTTAGCCAGTGCCAAAGATTTAATCAGGCGTAAACCCAATTAACTTGGAATATTAATCTTAATCCTGCCTGTAATGTAGCTATCAGGAGATACTCTCTACTGGCGTTCTAACAAGGTTGTCAAGCTGTCTATATTTGTGTCCATGTTCTGAAGTGGCTCCAATCCTGAGTTAGCTCTGCCACCCAGTAAAAACGGTTAGCATGAATGCGAGAAGAGGGATATTTAATTGTGAATATAGGGTAGAACAAAATGCAATAAATGTGATCTTGCTTGAGTCAACCTAGTTTGTGCAAATACTCTTACCAATTCACTATCACCGACACGCTGAACTCGAGAAAGAAGCCATATATTTTTCTAGTTAACAGAGCTTAATTACTGCAAAATATCGCCCATAACTCCTCCTCATAAGCATATATTTGTGCCGGCTAAACACCACAAAAACGAAGCAAGTAGATCTGATTAGTATAAACAGTTATAAACAACTCATATTTGAACAAGTACTCTCTTCAGCTTACCTGCCTTTTTAGACTTGAGAAATTATCTGTTTATATGAAATGGAATCGACCAATCATGAAATAAAATTTGATGTGAATAAAAACTTGGTTATGAAGAATTCCTTGATAAAATATTGTGAGATAACTCTCCATTTTAAAGGGAAAAGTTATTTGGAAGGAATTCGTGATGTGGTCTCACCGGAAAAATAAAGAGGATTGCCGCATAGGAAAGATTGTTCAATTGTGCAGCAAAGTCCTCCTCTCACAGTCCTACAACACCGATGAAACTGTGCTAAGCTCTCTTCTGTACAGTGACAAAAATAATCAGACCAGGTATATATACTTCATTAAATAGAGCACAAATGTCTTAAACCTAGAAGAAAAGGTGGCCAACTGAAACTAAAATGATTTATTATACGGCAAACATCGCGATCTTTATGTAGTATCCTACGATTTGGCTGGCTATTCTAAATATACTCTACATACTTGAAAATCAGTGAAGTCACTTCCCGAATGGGATATGCATTCGTTTTGAACTGTTTCCTTACATAACCAAACCAGGCTACGATCCCTAAATGGTGATTCATGTTTATGCTTATGTTAATGCCTAATGTGTGTATGTAATGTTCAAGTCGTGGGAAGTGGGATAATCCTATCTAGACTCGAGGATAATGCAGCATCCTTCTCTTATTCAGTGGCTCGTCACTTACCCCTTCTCTCTCCTTTTCATTATGTCTATCCAACAGCCACAAATAGTTCTTACTCAGTATTCTATACTCGTTCATTTTATTCAAGATGTTGGCTATTTAGTTAGTTTCTTTAAACTCCCTAATCTTAGGCTTTCAAGTAAAATCCCTGTAACCTACAAAACAATATATTTTGGATCAGCCTATTGAGTGTCCTATATTGGCCATGTGCTAAGCGAGCTCAGATTTTGGGACCCACAGACATTTTCAAGTGGTTTTGTGCTCGCACAGTCTTTTCTGAATGGGTCAGCAGTTCTCTCACGACATAGATATTGTCACATGAGCACAAAATTTTGTAGCAGCCTGACCTAGAAAGAGGGTCTGAATATTCTTTAAGCGAAGGAACTACTGAAGAAATTATTAATTTCTCTTTGTAAAATGTTTTATGTTCCACTTTCTCAGTAGACTATCCAAGCTGACATCATGACCATCATTTCTTTGAAGAACCCGTATTCCTTCTCCTCGTCTTCATTGTTAGCGTAGTTGATAATATATCTATCTTAAATGAGATTGATATTCCCTTATAATTTATTAAAGATAATTGTGATTATTTTGTGCAAAATAAATTATAATAATTTTATAAGCTATCGAGGCTATGTCATATTTAAACGTATTGCTAATGTATTCAATAAAGATAATTTTTCACTGAGTTCCTACCTATGATCTAATGTTTCCAAAAGAATTTATGTCTAAATTTTGACCCTTATTACTTATTAACTTGTATGACTACAATTATATGGCTCCTCTCTAAACGTTCAATTTGCCATGTAGAGGTAGAACATATTTTTATAGTATTATTGATCGCCCGCTCTGGAATTAAGAGGGTTGGTTTTATCACATTTCCTGATAAAATATGTTCGTAAAGGCAGTCTTTGCTTTTAATTAAATCGCCACAACATATTTTTTGTTTAAGATATCTTTTACTTAGGGTCGTTCTTCAGTATGTTAATCGACTAATCGGACTAATCGGCTTTTATACTCTCATAGCTCCTCATATTCTGCGTCTGCAAGTCTACTTTATATGCTTTAATATGTAATCCCGCGGCTTACCTAGATCAATTTAAAGCTTATCAAGCACGCACATTGTCTCAAGAGGTAAATTCGTGGGTGGGTACATTTACTCAGGAATAACTTTAATCCTACAGCAAACAAGGTGGGAGTGTGTCTCTTAAGTGTATACCCTTAATAAAAACGCATATTCACCAGTTTTGAAAAAAAACTCTTCAAGTCAAGTTTACATATCTAATCTAGCTTGATTAAAAAGAAAAACTAAAAAAATTGTTTACTTAAAATTTTAAATAAACTCTTAATAGAATGCTAATAATTTTCATACCAATTATTGACCTAAGTAAATAGATGAAACACATCGACTTGCAAATATATCTATTATTTACTCCTCAAAATTTTTTTGTTGATTATCACTACTCAGGAAAAGGCAAGATATTAGTAAATTATTAGTGAACATAATTCAACCTCGGTTGATGTTCTTTAAAATTATTTTAATTTATGCATATTAAAACACAATTAATACTAAAATTTATTTTTGTTTTAGGTCTTAATTTATCAACTTACTACAGTTTCGAAACTTGCTAGCACGCTCCAACTTGCTTTTATAATTAATCATGAAAAAAGAACAGGTTGTTCTTCGAGGATGTCTGAAGGGTCACAGAGACTGGGTTACCCAAATTGCAACCACTGCTCCATTTCCTGACGTTATCCTGTCTTCTTCAAGAGGTAGTTACCTCGGCTTATTCCGTGCCACTTTCATTTCTCTTCTAATGCGAATTTTAGACAAAACTCTTATTCTCTGGGCGCTTACTCGTGAAAATGATAACTTTGGAGTTGCAAAGAAATCTCTTCATGGACACAATCATTTTGTCAGCGACGTTGTTATGTCCTCGGATGGCCGTTTCGCTCTCTCTGGTTCCTGGGATAAAACTCTCCGCATATGGGATTTAGAAACTTGCCAGACTACACATCGCTTTTTTGGACACACCGGAGATGTCCTTAGCGTTGCTTTTAGTGCGGATAGCCGTCAGATTCTTAGTGGCTCCCGCGACAAAACTGCCAAACTCTGGAACACTGTCGCAATGTGTAAATATACCTTCGAACAGGATGGTCACACGGATTGGGTGTCTTGTGTGAGGTTCTCTCCAAACGCTGAAAACCCCATAATAGTCAGCTGTGGCTGGGATAAGATGGTCAAGGTTAGAATGTAGTTTCCTTATTTTATCGTCTTCTAGGTTTGGAATCTGGCTACTTATCGCCTTAGCACTAACCATATCGGCCATACGGGTTACCTAAACACTGTGACGGTCTCTCCAGACGGTACGCTTTGTGCCAGCGGTGGTAAAGATGGCCAGACTATGTTATGGGATCTTGATGCGAATAAGTTTCTGTATACTCTTAACGGTTGTGGAATTATCAACGCTCTGTGTTTCTCTCCCAATCGTTACTGGCTCTGTGCTGCTATTGGGCCCGCCATTAAGATCTGGGATCTCAAAAAGAAAACTCTTTTTGAAGAACTTGCCCCCCAAAGTTACAGCACTACTGCCGGAGAGGTTGAGCCTACGTGTCTTTCTCTCGCTTGGTCCGCTGATGGTCAAACTCTCTTCGCTGGATATGCCGACCATGCCATCCGGGTTTGGCAGATTATGCCCCTGGATGATCGATAGTTGGATGATAAATACACAAATTGGAGGTTATTTTTTGTCTTATAGTTGTAAACTATATATGTAAATCTCGGCTCAAGGTTTTTTTGTAACTGCTTATGGGGCTTTTATTCTCTTCATAATCACTTATTTTATTGCCTAGCTTCTTGGCTGTCTCCGGGCTTTTATTAAGGCAGAGCCTGTGGATGCTTGCTCATTTTGTGGAGCTTATAAGTTGGAGCAACTATTTGTTGTTCTATGTCTTAGTGAAAGACGTCTAGACCAAACAAAATACCAAGAACAAAATCAAAATTGCGCGTATGCTTATATAACACTCGGGTTATATCTGAGGTTTTATAATAGTTCCTCTTGGTGCTGGGTATCTTCTCTTATTTGGCGATAAGCGGATAGCTATCTTATGCTGAGACATTTGGCAAATCAATTGTATGAAGGTGTACTCACTGATTCTCTAAGGTGATGGGAGAAAATCTGCTTATAAACTAGAAATAAGTAATACAGTCGGTTGTCGTAGCAAATATTACTTTGCTTAGTCGACAATCTTACCAAGTAGTGTAGAATGAGAAAATGTCATATTCCTTGGCATTCACATCTACCCTGCGACTTGTGGATGCCTCTTACGCGCTGCGCCTTCCTGGTTCGTTTTGAGCTAGGGGTGACGATGAAACTTGTGCGA